TTTGCTATAGGATCGAATACAGTGAGCTAAAGGATTGTATGCTGATTTCTTTTAATCATTTCCGAACATTGCGACAGTTAAACCAATCCCAACCGTCTTGGGTCCATTTCCTCTCGGTGATCTCAGTAAAAAACTGTCGGGCGTACAATGTTTATTATCGGAGATTCAATAGAAAGAGATCCAGGAGTGGCACAGTCGGGCAGCATTCGCCTTCCTATTTTATTGATGGAAATACATTTTCATTTGTTATAACATCGAATTTTGTTGGCTTTCAACTGCAGAGTAATTTGATATTTTCAAAGAAAAATTCTCACAAAAAATACGTCCCATATCTTCTTGGGTTACCCCAAAAAGTTGCCACAAAAGTGTTGCATTTTGCCGCTCCTTTTCTTGAATGTGAATGTTTGATCCATCACTTACTCTAGTCAGACAGGTCTGCCCGAAAAATACCAGCAGGAAAATAACGAAATGAAAACGAAAGAATGGAACAATCCCTAGTTCCTGGAATTTCAACAACAGAAAACGACATCGAGATTGCAATGGATGTCAAATCAGTATTAGCTTTGGTTTTTACCCCTTGTCGCCTGAAAAGGCGCTTAGGTCATCCTGTCCCCCCCCCCACACACACACGGTAACCCACGTTAGACTTAATTTTGAACAGGCTGACTGAAACTTAATGTTGTCATTCAATTAATCCGTGCCTTATTGGCCACAAGTTTAATATCAGAATTCGGAGTTACAAAAATGGCATAGTCAAGTAGCTCCAGTTTCAAACTCAATACTTCCAAAATGTACCTGTTATTTCAAACAGGTTTGTATGGGTAGTTCAGTAACGCCCCCTGGGGGGATGAGGGCATAAAACCAGACCCCTCCCCTAAACACGACTGACATACAGGGAAATGTCAAAGTGATCATAATCTCACAAAACATGCAGTTTTACTATTTAGTTCCTGAATGCCACACACACTGGATACCTATGTAATATGTAACACAAAGCTTGAGGGCGCTATTTCAAATTAATGTGGGAGAAGCACAGTCGTAACAGGACGCATTTCACCAAATGGTTGGAATTCTGCGCTCAAGCTTGAAGTAATTTGTGAACCCTCGGGTTTTTTTACAATAAGACATGCCATAATCAAGAGGGATCATAGAAATACTTCTATAGATCCCGAATTTTGGACTGGTAGTTTCCAAGTCCGGATACTTCTTGTACAAAATTGCGGGCCCATTTTGGATAGAGGCGGGCGGCTACCTCCATTTTGAAAGTAGACGCAACGAAATTCGCAACGCTCGTCATTTACCCTCCTGAAGATACGCATACGCGGGACGCGTTTGGACGCAATGTCCTATCTAGTCTATATACTGGAGATCAATGCATGCAACCCTATGTGCAGTGCCCGTGTACAGTGGGCATGGTTAAAACTGAAGTAACGTCACACTTAATTACGAACCGGATAATAGGATAAGGCGGACTTCTTAGAGACAATCCTGGACAAATGTGGTTGGAACATGCCTCCCCCTGCCCCCTGTCAATGTTGCTTCTCATTGTGTTAGTTGGGCCGAATCTTGGTCCAATAAAATGAACGCAACATTGAATGGGGGAGAGGGGGGGGGGTCTCTGCAACGCGCGTCCCACGAGGTGTTCCAACTATTTTGTCCAGGATTGTAGATTCCAAAAACTTTGATATAAGTGAATTAAGGTTTGCATCATGTGGTGTAAAGGTTTCTTTCTCATGCGCCTGAGGCTTCAGAATTGTTCAATAAGTGCCATAATAAGTCGATGTTACTGATCCCCAATCTCGAGGAGTTTTGTTAATTCTATGGAGATCCAGATTTTCTTAAGAATTTGCATGTATAGTGCTGTCCTTGCCTTACCTTTTCTTGCAGTGACATCATTCTATAGTTCATCCGTGTCTCCACGCCTGAAAAGACTACTTCAAACGGCTTCTCTGCTTGTATTGCCATTTTATGCATTGTTGATCCCGTAGGCACGGGTGTCGCTTGAGGGGGTGTCGGGGGATGTCATCCCCCATTAGTTTGTTTTGTCAGAAAAATCATGGTCTGTCGGCAAAATAAAAAACGTCAGGTAGGTGTCGGGCTAGGGAATCGGACTACAGTAAACTTTTGCGAGACGGTCCGTCGGCAAATTTCATGTGGCAACCCCCCCCATTCAAAATGGTCTAGCGACGCCCGTGCCTGTAGACCTACGACTTCTTCAAATTAGCTGTGCCTCGTCTGGGCTGCCGCTTGATAATTTTGACCAATCTCGCATCTGATTGCGAGTGTATCATAGCCTATGTGATAGAAACACGGAGGTCACCTGTAGAGTCAAGGTCGTCATGTTGCTTGGAGCCAGGGAATCCTCTGTAATTCATTTCTCTTACACTTCGTAAAGTATTTAGTCGTGATCAAGCCAGTCACAAGCAAAGAATGGGTAATTCGGGTCATCCTTGTTTAACTCCAACGTTAACCTCAAAATTATCCAACCTCCATCCCGTAAAATGCAGTCCCGGCTTTATATACACATCAATCTCTAACAATGTGCTCTTCATCCAACATGAAGTTCCGTGGGATTCCGTACTGTCTCCATAGATTCCGTATATTTTCCTTCTCAACATCTCGTTCAGTTTTCAACATGTTCAAGCTAACACAAAAATCGAAAGATTCCTCTTTTCCAGCATTCGTAGAGAATGCAAATGAAACTATAGGCCTACACATTTCAAGGTAGGGAAAGTAGGCAAACTAACCTCAATGAATTTGAAAAGCATCGTTTCATAATTGACAAAGCGGAGCCGGTTATGTCAACTTCCAGTATGCATAACTAGCTTCCACTTCCTGGATGACCCTGGAAGGTTTGACAGCGTTGTGAATGTGCTTTCTCCTCGAAATTGTTTCTCGGCAGAGGCTCCCATGCAGCAGAGGCCGTACATGGAGGTGGACGGTAAGAAAATTCCTCAGAGCCGGGCCATGCACGGCTTCGTGGCCAGGGAGTTTGGTAAGTTTTCAAGCTGGTTGCCCGTCATTGAAGAAAGAAACTATACAATGGATCATTTTTGGTTCCATTCAATACCTCAGCGCATTATGTAACTTGCTTCTGTCTTTATTTTATGTAGGTTTAAACGGTTCCAACAACGAGGAAACAACCAAAATTGACGTCATCATCGCTACTCTTGAAGATGTTCGACTCTCAGTCGGAAGAGTCGTGTTTTATGAAAAGGACGAAGACAAGAAGGTAAATCCATGCCATCGTCGGTAAGAGTTGCACTCCGCAAAACCGTTGACGCTACCAAGAGGATAGGAATTTCATCTTGTGAATAAAAAAACAATTGCATCTTTTCTTTTAGAAAGAAAAGGTGTTGGAACTCTACGCACAGACTGTTCCTAAGTCATTCGCCGCGCTTGAGAAGATGCTGGTAGCCAACAACGGTGGTGATGGCTTCTTCGTTGGTTCCAAGGTAAGCGTCTCCATTCATGCAGTTTAGCACAAATCACAGAAACTCCCTTGAGGCCCCACGCCTTATCTCAAACGTACGCTTTGCCGTACATTGTTAATTTCCCGCGGTTTGTCGCGAAGAGTTTCGACAATGACGCCAAACGGGTAACAACTTCACCCTTGCCACTCAACTACGTAGGCCCACAAAGCAACATTAATTTTGGTATGCGCGATATTGATTCTGGAGGAATAAAACATTTTGTGTGTCTCCTGGGCAGTTGTTTGGAAATAAAAACTCCTCTTGTATATACATGTTGCTAGATAGGCTAGTACTGTAGTTGGAATACGTAGCAATTCAGCTGATTATGAATTCAGGGTGTCAAATCGCATTTAAGAAATAAATATTAAGGCATATATCAAATTCTAATCTCAAAATTAAACACAGTGTTAGTATGACATTTAATTCCTGTTATGAACTACTTCCTGCAACTACTTTTTTCGTTTATCCCACAGATCTCTCGCGCCGACATCTTTTTCTACGTCTCCATGGAATTCATGGCAGCGGTTCAGCAGGACTTCCCGGTCCAGGACGAGGTCAGGAAGTCCCCTAAACTGGCAGCCTTGATGGAACGTGTTGCCAAGGAACCTAATATCGCTGCCTATTTGGCTAAGCGTCCGCAAACGAAATGGTAAAATTGAGGGGGGAACCACGACAAAAAATCGCTCGGCTACTGGGGCGAAAGAGGCTTGTGGAGTAATTTTAGTTCGTGTTGATTTTGATTAGGAAGTGCTAACTTGCTACAGAACATGTACATGTATTGGAATCCTCAAGCAAGGTGACCTAGGGTACCAGATCGAATTTTCGGTTTATCCCATTTTTGAAACACTAATGGAAAAACACAGTCCGCACAAAAGCCATTGTCAAGGGTTAACTTGAAGTGATCTTCTGATGATTACACACAGGACCATTCTCTGTATTTGTTAAATACATGTATTCCAACTTCAGGATTATTTGGCGATCTATAATTGTTCAAGGCAAAGCATAAAACAAGGATGTTTATGGTAACAAACCCCAAACAGCCACTACCACGATTGGAAGGGTGCTGCTTTACTGTCTGGAAAATTCAAATGTACTTAAACTTTCTTCTTTTCGTATGTTTTTAGCGTGTCTGTGTTTTAGTTTGCAAGTAGGGCCCAAATTCACGGCACTGCTCACTGCAAGCGAAAAATCGGTGTTGACCATGGCCAAAAATTCTGTGCTTACGGCCAACGCATTTTCACGGGTTAGCGCGGAAGTCTGGCTTGTGCGCATGCATACATCCCGTAACTGAGGATTCTGTGCTAAGGTTAGCGCAGAATTTTTCTGCCAGCGCAGTTAGGCCAGAATGGAGATCGTAAGCGCAGAATTCTGTAGTAAGTAGCGCCATGAAATTGGGCCCAGTTATATTTGGGGAATGACATTAACACTGAAACAGACAGAGCTAGACCAGAAGTGGCGTAAATTTATAATGAAAACTGGGGGATAGGGAATTGGGGGGGGGGAAGGATTTGCCCGGCCATTGAAAGGCGGTTGGGGTGACACCATAATCATATGAATAGAAGTACTGTAAACCATCAGATGTCCAACCAACCTCCCTAATTAGTCACATAAAAGAAATGAAGTAAAAACACGTTTTTTCTTTCGATAAGCAATTGGCTTCTTTATTCACCTTCTGTACATTTCACAATGACCAGCTGTGCATACAGTGATTCACCTTTGACCCCAGCGTAACCCTAGTTGACCCACGCAGATGACCCTTGGGAGCGTAGCCTACGGTCTCGAGACCCATCGGCCGAAAATCAGCAACCTCATTACTGTATAGAAAAGCAGAGACAATAAAACTTAAATCAATAGGAGCAATTCACAAATGGCAAGCAACCAAGCACTTGCCTTCAAGAGGGAGGTTCAAATGTTATGGTCGACTCCTGCGTGCATTGTTCTGTCCTGCAGGTTATTATTGCATCTTCAAGAGCTAGCCTGACTGACTGCGCAGACACAATGTGAAGCCTCATCAATAAGCACACACAAAAAGCTTACCCCAAAATTTATTGGTCGACAATGAAAGGTCAGAAATTGGAACACCCGTTTTACGAGTGTGTAGCAAAACAATCAGCCATGCAGGAAAAAGTAAAATATATGTACACATACCTGCCATTTTGATGCAGC